CCCACACGTCTCTGGTCTCCAGTCAATGTTGTCATTAAAAAGCTTAATTTCTCTCTATACTACATTTTTTTTTTCAATGTCCAGAAAATCAGTGAGACAATTACATTTGAAGATCAAAGTGTTGCCGTTACTCATTTAACATGGCTTCTTTACAAGCTTTCTCAGCGTCACTTCCCAGTTCAAAAGAACATCAGCTAAAACACAACTTGAAGGACTCTTCCATTTTCTATGTATCTACAGAGAACCATCAAACATAACCGTGCTTTAAATCTTATTTTCGGTAAACATTAATAAACCAAGATTCCTGATGCAGAAGTCACCAATTAAAGAAGGACACGATATTGATGTTTTGTCATTTATTCCCCTCCACCCTGAATCAAACCCCCCGCTGAACGTATTTCCAAGGCTCTAACAGCCTGTTGCCTGGCTGTCGCCGAGCCCCGGCTTCCACCCGTGATCAGAGCAATGGAAATGATGGAGGAGCACGTGAAACTTATTGATTTGGTTTGTAAAACTGTTTTGAAAACCTCTGGAACGTGTGAAGGTTGTAGCGTGTGAAGCAGCCTGAGCAAATCCCAAACCTTTCTGTGTTTAATCAAACGAGCTCCTCCTGCTCCCGAGAGACATCCCTCCTGCTGGCCAGGTTTGGGATCAAAAGTCCCAGAGTAAGGGAATAAAGCCATCACGATCTGCAATTCAGAATAAACACCCAAGCTTTCAGATGAGGCAAAGACTCCTCCGTGACTAAAATTGTTAGCACTGGATAATTTCATCTACGAGTCTATCAGCTACGCCGTGATGCACCAGACCCAGAATTTGGCTTGGTTGCTGACCACAGGAGTTTAGAAGTGACACCGAAGTGACACCCTGAGACACCGAGGGAAACCTCTTGCTTTGCTTTGCACAAACCCCCCAAAAACCAAAAAAAACCCAGAGGACCTAGATTTCATCCCAGTCCAGCCAGCTGGGGAAGATCACAGAATCACAGAATGATATATAGTAAGGGAATAAAGCCATCACAATCTGCAATTCAGAATAAACACCCAAACTTCCACATGAGGCAAAGACTCCTCCGTGACTAAAATTGTTAGCACTGGATAATTTCATCTACGAGTCTATCAGCTACGCCGTGATGCACCAGACCCAGAATTTGGCTTGGTTGCTGACCACAGGAGTTTAGAAGTGACACCGAAGTGACACCCTGAGACACCGAGGGAAACCTCTTGCTTTGCTTTGCACAAACCCCCCAAAAACCAAAAAAAACCCAGAGGACCTAGATTTCATCCCAGTCCAGCCAGCTGGGGAAGATCACAGAATCACAGAATGATATGGGGTTGGAAGGGACCTCTGGAGATCATCTAGTCCAACCCCCTCCCAGAGCCAGTCCACCCAAAGCAGGTCCCACAGGAACGTGTTCAGGTGGGTTTTGAATGTCTCCAGAGAAGGAGACTCCACCACCTCCATGGGCAGCCTCTTCCAGGGCTCTGCCACCCTCACAGGAAAGAAGTTCCTCCTCACGTTTAGGTGGAACTTCTTATGTACAAGTTTGTGCCCGTTTCCTCTTGTCCTGTCCCTGGGCATCACTGTAAAAAGACTGGGCCCATCCTCCTGACACCCACCCTTTAAGTGTTTATAGGTGTTGATCAGATCTCCCCATCAGCCTTCTTTTCTCCAGATTAAAAAGACCCAAGTCCCTCAGCCTTTCCTCATCAAGGAGATGCTCCAGGCCCCTCATCATCTCTGTAGCCCCTTGCTGTCCCCTCTCCAGCAGTTCCCTGTCCCTCTTGAACTGGGGAGCCCAGATGATGTTTTTGCCAAGAAAGCAGCAGCAAGAAGCAACTCCGTGTTGTCCACAAGCAAACGGTGGAGCAGGAGAAGAATGGTAAAATATTTTGCAAAAAGCACCACTGCACAGCTACGAAGTCTGTTATCTACCACAAGGAATCAAAACCCACAGAAGATAAAGTGAAAACATTTATTTTAGGCAGAATTTGCCCTATCTCCACTCCTAAATTAATAATCAAGATGTTACTTGGCTCTAGACACCACGGGGGAATAAAATGTCACCACCGCAGCTGCCAAATTTCCCGCTACCAGCCCTTCAAATTAAGGAAAAAAAAAACCAAACCCACAATACAAATGTACAATTTGATTAGTTAAAGTTCAAATCTTTGCCCAAAGCCCGGCTCTTCCTGTAATAGCGCATTCTTTTCTTCTTGTGTAAACTTCTCATTATAACAGAGACATCTTCATAATATAATAATTCTGGTTCTAATGTAACTGCGGGTAACATAACTCCCGCATTAGGAAAGGCAGCATGCTCTTAGTAATGCTGTTTTAATGTCATTTGTGTACTGCAGGAACTGAGTGAACCTGGGCATTTAGGGTTTGATCAATGCGAATTAGCGTCGTAAAGAGATGAACCAATTTGATAATTCAGAATTTGATCAATGAGAATCAGGACCTGGCCGAGATAAAACATTCATCAGGAACATTTGGAAATAGCAGCCTAATCCGGGCAGCGCTGGGGAAGGTAATAAACAGGCATCAATAAGGACTGCAGACAAAGTACAGAAGACTTGCCAGTTCCCCAGTACAATGTGGGATATTTGGCTTTTTCCCTTTTAATGGGGAGAATTATCCCTAAAGACAGACGAAGCCACAGCTGATGTAATTTCAGGGACTAAACGGAGGAAGGAAAAGGAAAATCCAGGAAATATTTAAGCAATTATCCACTTCTCCTCGCTCTTGAAAGGGATGTAGCTTAAAAAGTTGAAGACATGCAAGTTATATATCTCAGTTAAAACTCAGTAACTCATTCCAGACGGGTTTAAAATGAAGTGAGACTATTTCGTAATAACCCCACAATTAGATCTATTAATCTCACACTTAGAATCTGAAATCACACTGACGTGCGGCACATCGGTTTATGCATTAACAAAATTTCGCAGTTCAACCTTATTTAATTCTTCTTTTACAGCCAATTAAACAAGCTCTTTAAACACCACTGCTTGAAACTCTGTCCTCAATCCTCGCATGCAATTAAACTGAACATGAGAAGTGCCTGGTGACACCAAAAGAGCATCATCTTTAGCTTTCACTAAATCATTCATAATTTATCCATCAAGTTACATACAAAAGGCAGCGATAAAATAACATCTGCTGAGTTTAAACCTTCAATAAAAAGATGTGGCATTTAAAAGGATTTTATATAAGGAAAACTTTTAAATTATAAAGTAATATTGATACTTCATGCACTTTATCAAATCTACTGCAATTTATGCGCATATTTCAGATACCTTTGTCTTTTCATAATGTTTTCCTTTTGTTTCTTAAGGCAATGGACCAAAACTGGATCCACTCATCAAAAAGCTCAAGAAAATAATTTTTTGGGAAGTTTGGCTTGAAGTGCAAAGAAAACACAGCAATTTCAGTAGTGGCATTACAAAGAAGACTAATCAAACAGGTGATTTCCTCATCTGTGGAGGTGTTCAAGACCAGGTTGGAGGGGGCTTTGATCAACCTGATCTGGTGGGAGGTGTCCCTGCCCAGGGCAGGGGGATTGGAACTTGATCATCTTTAAGGTCCCTTCCAACCCAAACCATTCTGTGATTCTCCTAAACTACCCAATAATGATTTCTATTTATACCTTTAGTCTCTAAAAATTCTGAAAAGACTAACCTCATCAAGTGTTAGGAATCCCTCTCTAAATCTCTATTCATTAAATACTCCTGCATTTACGCAGATAGATAGACTGAAACGTCCTTCAAAATGGTCTTCTTAAAGTTCTTAGATATTGCCTGATGCTGAGGATTGGCCCCTGCTGTACCTACCAGCTCCATTTGTGCAAAAAGGAACTCAAAAGCATTTGATCATTTATATATTAGAGGAGAAAAAAACAAAGCCAAAGCCATTTCCCACCTCTGGCCACAATGAACACCCAGAGTTACCTACTAGTACTTCAAATCACAACAATATCTTGTTTTGGAACAATGAAAGTCACATTAGGCAATAATTAGATTTCAAAACCTGAAAATACCCCACTGTAACAGAAGAAAAGACACCCCCTTGGTGGGAATCTCATCGCAGACGTAACGGGATGATGTTCACATCAGACCTTGAGTCGACGGTCACTTTGTCCCTCTTGTTTAAGGGACAGATGAATTCAGTCCTCAATATGTTCTGCACCATTGACCAGTACAAAGACTTTCTATATACACTAGAGAATATTTAACAATTCATGATAAGAAGAGATAAAATTATTTTTATCCTACACTTAAGAACACTATTTACATCAGCAGCTCAAAAAGGCCTTTTCTCTTCTTGCTCATCAAAAAACAAAACAAACAAAAAAGAAAATACCCCCCAAAATTAAAAATCATCACAGAAGAATTCATTTCACACAGCATTTCTTGGTTACTGCCGAGACTAAAAGGTTGTAAAAAGTTCTCTCTGTATCCTTACTAAAATGATAAATGGAACCTTCTGCGTAATGGATGAACCAGCAGAAGAAGAAGAGTCCAAGGCTAAGGGTCAGAGTCACTTTGATCCATCAATTACTATATCTTCATTTAACCATCCTCAGGACTAATCAAAATTATTTAATTTGACCTTCACTGTTAAGGGCAAAGTGAAGTTGCTAATTTAAATCCTTTCACACCGTGCAAGCACAGGATGAATACTATTGTCATGCAAAACTGGAACTGCATTTTTTTGGTGCTCCGTTAGAGAAAAAAAACGTTAAGGAATATATTTTTAGACTATTTCATGCACCTTATCAAATACAAATTAATTAGTACATTACTAACTGTGCATCCCATTTCTATGCAGCTTATGGTTACTACAGACTGGCTTCCAAATTCTTCAAAATTCTCTCATTTCAATAACCAGCACAGACCGATAGGATCTAGGAAAGGGGGAAGGGGAGCTATTGTGAATTTTCATGTGGGTAAGAACTCCTCGAGCTGCCAGGCTCAAAAACAACAGGAGAAAAGACTTACTTGAACCGAGATGACACTTCATCGGCAGCTTTTTGGTATTGCTCCGTGGTGACTTTGTAGAACTGGGCACTCTGGAAAGTTAAAAAGAATAATACAGATTTATCATTTCTATCCATGCTAATATCTAGTAAGCAATGCTATTCTGGATATTTTATCCATTTAAGTTGCTTTAAAAAAAAACCCCAAACCTAACCCTCAAATCAGGTTTTCTACAAAGTTTCAGAGATAACTTTTATTTGGGTCTTTTTTTTTAAATAAGTGTGTCCTATTGGTTCTGGAAGGTTCTGCAAAAGAGATGGCTCTCAGGGAGGGAACTGTAAAGAGACATGGAATAAGAATCACATATTTAGATGTTGGTGCTGCTGGAACCTTTAGAAGCTTCTCCATTGGAAAAGAATTAAAGAAAAATCAAAACACCAAAATTGTTACTTCTTTGCATTCCCCTGTTTGTGTTATTGACACACACATCCCCATCGAGTTTGCAGGTGATACTTGAGTCAAACTTCAAAGTCACACAATAAATTGACTGTGGCTTGACTTTCTTTTTTGCTCTTTGCCTCGGTAATGCCTCTCACAGCGAGTTATTTTACTATTCCAAACTTCCAGGTCATTTCCGTCAGTTGCTAATTTTAATTTTTAAAATCAGGCAGCTTCACAACTTATTTTCATCTCCCCTAAACCCAGGAATGCCTTTCACTCAGTTCCACCATATCATTAATTTCCAAAACGCAGGCAAGACAAGATTGAATCATCAAGCAATAGAAATTTCCTAGACTTAAAAACGGCGAAGTTTCTCAGTGGGACACAGGATATTCGAAGACAAATCACTATAATGTTGTGATGCTTCATGTCTAGATAATATATACTTGGTATTTTTAAAGAGGTTTTTATAGCCTTAGCACAGTTGGACTTAAGATGTAATAGCTAAGGCACCTGGCTTCACAGTTGGGAGGAATAAAGAAAAGTTAAAGCAGTTCAAAAGTTCTCTAAACCCATTTTTCTCTGAACGGTGGGGCAAACAGGTCGTGGAGATGCAGCAAGGTTTTGCTGGCACTTGCAAGAACTCTTCCCTAGCTTTGCAGCTCTTGAGTCATTGGGCATCCCGGGGAGTCGCGTTAACATGGCAACAAAACTCTTACAATCACACCCGGCGTGATTACAGAAACCCCCTTCCGAAGCCTTATCTTAACAATCTACTTATTTAATACCACGCTGTAAAGTTATTCAGGCCACAACACTGATTTTGCATCTTTAAAACATTTGAAATGCAGTCCAGGGAAAGCATCATTCCAATTTTATTTTGGGTAACGCAAGCATATAATAATACAGTAATATTTAAGACATTGATGTATGAAAAAGGAATGTGCCTAAAACATTGTTAAGGGGGAAGAAAAATAAATTACAATCCCCAGTAACTGGACTGATGGCTCTTTTGTAAAAGTCAAAGATGACACGGTCAAAAAAAGAAATTACAATCCCCCAGTAACTGGACTGATGGCTCTTTTGTAAAAGTCAAAGATGACACGGTCCCCTTGATCACTGGGTTAGTAAACATGTTCCAGGCAACATTTATCTGTGCCAAATTATGTTATGAGGGATGTAGGCAAGATAAACCCACTACGGCAAAAGCACTTGATGGAAACTCCGAAAGAGACAGCACCAGCTACAAAAACAAAAGGAAAAAAACAATTTTCTTTTCTATTTGAGGAGCTCGTCTTGCGAGGTTCTTCCTTGTGCATTATAATCTTGAAATGGACAGCAATGACTGAAAAGAACACCAACTCCAGGCAACGGGTAAAATTGTATTGCAAGTCTAATATTTTCCTACAAATGATAACAGATTGTGTAACATCCACCGCAGTCAAAGGTCAGGCAGAGATCACAAAGAGCCCGGTGGTCTGCTGTGCTCCTGCTCCTGAGGTTCAGACCTCATAATTCATTTGTACTGGAACCAAGGTTTCCACGCGTGTGACTCGGGGTCATTTCTTTTTTCATAAATCATTGTTGGCCAGTAAGAAAATGAAAATGAAAATCCTCCTCACACCGGTGACCCCCCCCACCCCTCCTTGCATTTAGCAATCTCAGCTGCCCAGTGACAGTCCCATCCAGGTTCCTGGGACGCCGATGAAATCAATGGGGACGCGATTAGCCAGCAGCCGGAGCGCGGTGCGAGCGCGGACAGGTCACCGTTGGAGATGATGAATAGCTCTCCATCATCCTACGGTCCCCTACGATGCTAACATTTACTATAATCTTATTTGGGCTGCCATTTATCTTTCTTTTCGCCTGATCAATAAAGATGAACACAACAGTTGTAAGGATCGATTGCAATTTTTTATCATTTTCAAGCATGAGGGAGCATTTCTGACACAAAAACAATATTCTGAGTCTACTTGTTCTACTTTTTAATTGCAGTTCAAGTGATCAACGGAGCTGCTATATATGCCAAGAAGTTTTAATCCTACAGTAGGCTCAAGCTTTCGAGAAATAATTTGTTATCTCAGATAAAGTGTGCCGTGTTTCTTGGATCCGATCTTCCTTTGAAATTCGCTCAGGTTCTCTTTTAGAGATATCTTCTCTATAATCCAGAGATGAAGTTTCATTTTTAGAAGTCCTCCCTAATCCTCAAGATAAGAATGCACTGGTCGTTTCTCTAAATACAGAAAAAAAATGGTGCTATAATATAGCACTGTTAATATAACTAATTTCCTCAGTTTCCCAATAAAGATATATATGTATATATACATATACAGTAAGGCTGGGGAGAACCTGTTTAGAAAGGCCGGCAGTGACAGGACAAGGGGCAATGGCTTCAAGCTGGAGGGGCACAGCCCTAGATTGGAGATTAGGAGAGGGTTCTTCACTGTGAGGGTGGTGGAGCACTGGAACAGGTTGCCCAGGGAGGTGGCTGAGGCCCCATCCCTGGAGATATTCAAGGAGAGGCTCGCCGAGGCCCTGGGCAACCTGGTCTAGTTGGGGGGGTCCCTGCTGACTGCGGGGGGGTTGGACTAGATGACCTTTGGAGGTCCCTTCCGGCCTGGGCAATTCTATGACTCTATTCTATGATTCTATATATGTATTTATATTGTCTATATAATCTGCATACTCATGTGCTGTTCAACTCAAAGTGGAGGAAAAAAGCTCTGGTCCAAATCTCAGGTGAACAGTGGTGCCATACTACCAGAGAAGCTCTGGATCGGGCCTGTGGATCTTCACGAGTTCCAGCAGACACTCCAAAACCAGGTGTTTTCTCCCCAAAGTGTGCCCGGGCAGGGAGGAGGGAGGAAAGGGGACAGAAATGCAATACCACTTACCATTCTGCATCAAGCGTTGTGTGCATCAACATACAAACCTCAGCTATTTTTAGTACATTCCAGATATATATATTCTCTACATATATATTCTCAGGATTCTTTTAACTAAACAAGCCACTAAAATAGTAGCAAATACCACAATCAAGTTCCTTTGTATCTTTCATTTGAGTCCCTCAGGCACACGTGCTATAAAACAGTAGAGTTACGCAGCATCTTCCCCTCTTTAAAGCCCTCTCTGTTGCTGTATAACAAAAAGATGGTTTTCTGTAGACATTTTCACTTAATTTCACTGAATTTCTAGAGTTGGAAGGGACCATAGAGATCATCTAGTCCAACTCCCCTGCTGAAGCAGGATTGCCTA